TATGTATGTATGTATGTATGTATGTTCCTTTATACACTACGGGTTGGACTTCGAGTACTTTAACATTCTTTCGCTTGTTGTTTGCCATCTTTGCTTGTTTTTATGGATTTCTCTAGGCTATCGATATTACATTGCTTTTACTGGTCCACAACTGTGGTTAGGGCTTCATTAGCCATATTCTCCTCGGCAATGACTCGGACTGTGGGTTCGTCTTCGTGTAGTTTTATCCACTTCATGCTACCTGTAGATCAGTGTCTCATTTTGACAGTCCAATAATTTTATCCATCAATGTGATCAGATTATAGGACGATGTGCGAGTTTAGGTTGTTTTCTTTCTGGCCTTGTTTCGGTTCCAAACACTGGTGCTGACTCGACACTACTGTTTAATAAACATTGCATCTATTCTATATCCTAAAATCAGAGATGTTCTAAAATAGAAATATTCTACCTAGCTCTATATACTAAGTTATGGTTAAGACATAAGAGGGAGCTAAAAATAGATCCAAAGAGAGCAAGGTAGCACCGGACCAAAACAGTACCTGATTGGTTCTAACATCCGCAGATGTCATTATAAGGGATGTTCTAAAGATAGTTTATTTACATTCACATTTTAACAGGAATCTAGCTTCTTCACTTATAAATGTGATTTCAAGAAGGTCCTGATAAATAAGATATTTTGACAATAACATGTAAAAAGAGAATTTGGAGGTTGAATATGGAAACCAGCTCGTTACTGAAAAGTCAACATCATTATTACTAGTATGTAAAAATGTAAAAGATGAAAAGATCAAATTATTTAGGTTTACAGGTTTAAAAGGAATTCGATTTAAAATGGCTAATCTTAGAACACTGTTTAAGTGTGTCACTCAGATTGTTCCATTCTTTCATGGCTTGATACTGCATTGTTTGTTTTCCCCAGTTGGGTCGTGGTAAGCGAAACTCGCTTCATGACTCGTGTTGTAGCCATGCTGATTGAGCTTATTCAGCTTTAGATTTGATGATAATAATCTGTTTTTACATTTGTATATATGTAAACATCGATGGTAGTATCTGCGCTTACTGAGTTCCATCCAATGAAGTTCTTCCCGAGCATCAAATGCTGAGGAGTGTGGAGGACGATCCAGGATGATCTTGGCCGCTTTGTTGTGCAGGGTTTGAAGAGATTCCATAAGCGTGGTATTATCTTTATCTCCCCAAACAGTATCACCATAATCAAAAAGCGGTAGGACCAAGCTGTTGAAATACAAGAGTCTAGCGAATTTAGGCAGGAGATGTTTGATTAGCTTTAGGAGACCAAGGTGTTTGTTGATTTTGGTCATCTGTTTTTCAACATGAGCAGACCAAGACATATTGCTGGAAAAGACCACACCAAGGTACTTGAATTCTTGAACTTTCTCGATGTCTTTGAGGCGGACCAGTATGGAGATGGTGGAGATGTTGATCTTTCTCTTGCTTCAAAACAGCATGGCTTTAGTTTTGGTTGCATTCAGGTTCAAATGATTAATCTTAAACCAATCACCAACCAGCTTGAGATCTTCATTAAGCTTATCTTCTRTATCAGGAACTGAGGAGGAGAAATAGTACAAGACTGTATATGCGGACAACATTAGGAAGATCGTTGATGTATATGATGAGCAGAAGAGGCCCAAGGATACTTCGCTGAGGTACACCAATGTTGCATGGTAATGGCTGTGATACTTCTAAGCCACAAGTAGTGCATAAGTATCTTGATGACAAGTAAAAGTTAAACCATTTGAGATCGTTGTCACGAACACCAGCTGAAGATAGTTTATTCATTAGAATCGTGTTGTTTACTGTGTCAAAGGCTTTTGACAGATCCAAGAAGACAGCTCTACATAGTTTACCGTTATGCATGTTACGTAGAATGTCATCTGCAAGGCTGGCTAATGCAGTTGATGTTGAACGTTTAGGTCGAAAGCCAAACTGCTTGTCAGAAAGTAGATTGTTTGCACTTAGGTGTTCGTAGAGTTGCAGTTCGGAAGAATAGAGATGGGTCGATAGTTGGTGGCATCAGTTCTATCCCCAGTTTTAAACAGGGCTATGACCTTAGCACATTTCCAAATACAAGGAAACGAGTGGAGCTTGATAGATAAGTTCAGTAGATTAGTAACTGGTTGAGCGATCACATCTGCAGAATCCTTGAGAAGGCGAGCACTGATGTTGTCCAATCCAATCGACTTGTTGGTCTTGAGAGATTTTAATTGATTGAGAACAAACGTTTCATCAACTGAACTTAGATGGAAACTTTGATCTGGGTCAGAAGTGATATTGGGTGAGAAGAAAGGAAAAAGAGAGGAGATTTTCTTTGCAAGAAGTTGACCGATGGAAGCAAAGTGATTGTTCAATACGTTAACGATGGACTTTGACTCCAGATATTGAACACCATTGGAGACTATGCAGTTGGGAATAGAGGCCTGATCTTGCTTCCTGCAGGTAGCTTTATTGATTGCTTTCAACAGATTGTTACCGTTTCCCTTGCTGTCTTTGATCAGGTCGATGTACTTTGACTTACCGCGCTTTATATCGCTCTTAACGGTGTTACGAGAGCCAGTTGTTGTAGCTTTACGATGATGGAAGTCACGGTTGTGCATAGCTTCTTTTACTTTTGAAGTCATCCATGGACATTGGATACCACTGATTCGCCGTTTCTTGACAGGAGCATGAGCATCAGCCACATCGAGAAATAGTTTATTCCAAGTTAGGACTGATGCATCAACGTCGTCACTGTCTTCCACAAAGTTCCAAGGAACGTCTTTCAGGTCTTTCAGAAAGGCTTCGCGATCATAGTTCTTATAAGAACGGTATTCCATTGTCCTGGGACTTGCCTTAGGTTTACCTACTTTAAGAACGCAGTAAACGAGAAAATGATCACTGATGGATGGATTTACCACCCCACTGTCAGTATAACGATGTTCATTGTTCACGAGGATTAGGTCAATCATAGATTTTGATGTTTCAGTAACTCGTGTTGGGTCTTTAATCAGCTGGGTGAAATCCAGAGAGCGAGTARAGTTGATTAGCTGTTGTTTCAAAGGATTTTTCTTAGAGGAGACATCAACGTTGAAGTCACCAAGTAAAATGACATTACTTGCTGAATAGTCGATTTTAGGAGAATTGTTATCTAAAGCAGAGATAAATGATGGGAAGTTAACGTCGGGTGCCCTGTAGATGGTGCAGATTAGAAGAGGTTTACATTTCTTTCGCACGATCTCAACCCAAAGGAACTCCACATCATTAGTGTTAAGATCTTCGCGTATTCTGAAAGGCAAGCCATCACGAAGAAAGCCATAGTACCGCCGCCACGTTTCCCGTCAGGTCTGTCCTTCCTAATGCACGTATAACCAGGGACCTGGATTTCAGCATCAGAGATTGAGCTATTCAACCAGGTCTCAGATAAGGTGAGCACATCAAAGCTTTTGGAGGTCGATGTTACCAATAGCTTCAACTCATCCAGTTTTCCAAGAAGACTGCGTACGTTTAGGTGGGCTATTGATAATCCCCTTGTTTTAACACCAAAAGATGACGCAGGGCCAGGATTCGGTTTACACCTCCAGATATGGCCAGAAACAGGAGTACGAGTCCAAATTGCTTCAGCAGATGGACACCAACGGCGAAGGTCACCTGTGGCGACAGGCTTATGGTCTTGTAATGTCGTGCTTGCCTGATGGGATGACTTGCTTGTATAGATGGTATGAAAATTGATGATCCCAAGTACATACCACAGGTGCTAGATGTCCAGGGCTCCACTGTTTTCTTTATGATGAGACTGCACATCACGATTACAAGATAGAGAAAAGTGCACAGCAACCGGAAACCAGATTTGACTTTCAAAGAAGCCATTTGGATTCGGAGCGCGAGCCACTGACGTTTTCTATTGACGTTAGGTTTTTGCGCGCGCTGATTATCGTTGAAAGGCTATGCTCGTGCTTAGGGTTTAAATATGAAAACACAAAAAATAAATAAACAAAGAATAACCGTCAAAGAAAAGAAAGAAAAAAAAAAAACGAATAAAAAATTTTAATATTGGAAAGAAAATGAGAAATCAATGTGCAAAAGCAATAATAACG